ATTTACCCACCAACTGCCCCCAGAGATTCTGGTTTAACTGGCCACCGGTATGATTCAGACATCAGTTTGTTTTTTTGTTTTTTTTGTTTTGTTTTGTTTTTCTTTTTTTTGACAGGCAGAGTGGACTGAGAGAGAGAGACAGAGAGAAAGGTCTTCCTTTGCCGTTGGTTCACCCTCCAATGGCCGTCGCGGCCAGCACGCTGCGGCCAGCGCACCGCGCTGATCAGGTGGCAGGAGCCAGGTATTTCTCCTGGTCTCCCATGGGGTACAGGGCCCAAGCACTTGGGCCATCCTCCACTGCACTCCCAGGCCACAGCAGAGAGCTGGCCTCGAAGAGGGGCAACCGGGACAGAATCCGGAGCCCCGACCGGGACTAGAACCCGGTGTGCCGGCGCCGCAAGGCGGAGGATTAGCCTAGTGAGCCGCGGCACCGGCCAGACATCAGCATTCTAATACCTGGTGGCACAGTTCATATATAAAGAAGGAATAAATACTGATTTCCATCAGCCGTCAAAACAAGATTCCTCTCATCCTCCAAGATTTCCCAAGCAGTTTTTTTTGCAATAGGGAAATTACTTTGTTTTTTTGATTATATAATAACACTATTATCCTGATGCGCAAACTGTCCATCTTTAGTCAGTGACATACTCCAAAAGTTGGTTGCAGAGGCTAGGGAACAAAATAGCTTAAGTCACACATATAGAGGAACACACTCGTACACAAAATGACAAAGGAGTTCAAGAAAGGTACCAGAACAGAACAGCTGGCTTTGGACTACAGAGAATGTCTGCAGGGAAGGAAAAAAAAAAAAAAAAAAGATCTGGGGCCGGCGCCGTGGCTCACTTGGTTAATCCTCCACCTGTGGCACCGGCATCCCATATGGGCACCAGGTTCTAGTCCCAGTTGCTCCTCTTCCAGTCCAGCTCTCTGCTGTGGCCCGGAAAGGCAGTGGAGGATGGCCCAGGTGGTTGGACCCCTGCACCTGGCTCCTGGCTTCGGATCAGTGCAGCGCCAGCTGTAGCGGCCATTTAGGGAGTGAACCAACAGAAGGAAGACTTTTCTGTCTCTCTCAGTCTATAACTCTACCTGTCAAATTTAAAAAAAAAAAAAAAAAAACCTAAAAAGTATCATCTATTAATCAAGTCATAAAGTAACTGAACAAGAAAACTATTTCATAGCTCAACTCAGTGACTGATAACTACCACTGGTCACGTCATATGGAGAAGCCATCAATTACCAACACCTATCTATGGATACAACTACAAGATATCTAAGACAAAAAAGGATATAAAATCTAAACTCTGGTTTGATAAAATTTCTTCAAAAGATTTTTAAATTTATTTGAAAGGCAGAGTGACAAGAGAGATCTTCCATCTGCTGAATCACTCCCTACACAGCAGCAATGGCAGGGCTGACCAGGCAGAAGCCAAAAGTCAGGCACTCTAGCTGGGTCTCCACATGGGTGGTAGGGGTCCAAATACTTAGGCTATCTTTTACTACCTTCTCAGGTGAGTCAGCAGGAAGTTGAATCAGAAGCAGGGCAGAGGCCAGCACTGTGGAATAGCAGGTAAAGCTGCTGCCTGCAGTGCCACCATCCCATATGGGCAACAGTTCTAGTCCCGGCTGCTCTACTTCCAATCCAGCTCTCTACTATGGCCTGGGAAAGCAGCAGAAGACGGCCCAAATCCTTGGGCCAAAACACCCACATGGGAGACCCAGAGGAAGCTCCTGGCTCCTGCCTTCGGATCAATGCAGTTCCGACTGTTGTGGCCATCTGGAGAGTGAACCAGCGGATGGAAGACCCCCTCTCCTCCCCCCTTCTCTTTGTGTAACTCTTTCAAATAAATAAATGAATAAAAAAAAAAAAAAAAAGAAGATGATGAAGCAGAGCAGCCAGACTTGAATCTCATATAGGATGCTGGTGTCTCAAGTGGCACCTTCACCCACTTCACCACAACACTGGCAACTCCATTTTCTTTTTTTTGTTGTTGTTGTTTTGTTTTGTTTTGTTTTGTTTTTTAAGATTTGTTGTCCTATTTTAAAGTCAGAGTTACATAGAGAGAAAGGAGAGGGAAAGAGAGAAAGAGAGGTCTTCCATCCACTAGTTCACTCCCCAGTTAGCCACAATGGCTAGAGCTGCACCAATCCGAAGCTAGGAACCAGGAGCTTCTTCCAGTCTCCCAGGCGGGTGTATGTGACCCAAGAACTTGGGACATCTTCCACTGCTTTCCCAGGCCATAGCAGAGAGCTGGATGGGAAGTGGAGCAGCCAGGACTTAAACTGGCACCCATATGGCATGCCGGCAGGCAGGCGGCGGCTTTATCCACTATGCCACAGCGCCAACCCCCCGTTTTCTTTACTTGCAATTTAGGGCATGTTCTTGGTCACAAAACATGTGCTCACTTCCGCAGCACATATACTAAAACTTCAACAATCCCAAAACATATAAACAGATTAGCTATTTCAAGTCTCAGACTGTAAATAAAGTCTGAATATTTCAGATATCATATCACAAGGAAAAGTTATTTAAGTATGTCCGTGTTATGAGACTAGTTAAGTCACTGAGGAAAAGTCACAATTAACAAGTTGATCCAAGACAACTTAATGATCATAAACATGGTATTCAGAGTAAAGAAAAAAAACCAGGTCAAAGAAAGTATGTGGAAAGAAAGTAAAGCTACTGCGCTGATCCAAAAACTGCAACCATATAGTTTCTAATATGTATACATTGATCCAAACAACTGCAATACTGGCAACTCAAGCAAAGAAAAGAAATCAAAACAGTCAAGTGATATGATGTATATAAATACTGCTTATTTTCTTCAGTTATGTAAAATATTTCTAAGCTTGGCAAGGTTGATTGCCACACAGCTATGATGAAGCTTACATAACATTAATAACAAGAATTGAAAAATCACAACTTTAAAAACAGGCTAGCAATGATTTAAAGACCGCCAAAACCCTAGAATTACAAAAATACATTCTTTTCTGGCCGGCGCCGCGGCTCACTAGGCTAATCCTCCGCCTTGCGGCGCCGGCACACCGGGTTCTAGTCCCGGTCGGGGCGCCGGTTCTGTTCCGGTGCCCCTCTTCCAGGCCAGCTCTCTGCTGTGGCCCGGGAGTGCAGTGGAGGATGGCCCAAGTGCTTGGGCCCTGCACCCCATGGGAGACCAGAAGTACCTGGCTCCTGCCATCGGATCAGCGCGGTGCGCCGGCCGTGGCGGCCACTGGAGGGTGAACCAACGGCAAAGGAAGACCTTTCTCTCTGTCTCTCTCTCTCACTGTCCACTCTGCCTGTCAAAAAAAAAAAAAAAAAAAAAAAAAAGGTTGGTCAAAGTTGGAGGATGGAAGACCTCTCTGTGTCTCTCCCTCTGCCTCAATCAAACAAATAAATCTAAAAAAAAAAAAAGAATAAATAAAAATCATACTGCTTTAAAATCAAAAGTTTTTTTTTTTTTAAAGACAGAATACCGTTGACATGGTTTACTAGATTGTAGGTAAGAAAACAGGAATGGGCGCAGTGTTTTGCTCTCTGTGAGGTGTAGGCCAGTGTCAGCCCGCAGAGGGTCACTGCGACGTCGGGCCTGCTTCCTGGGGCTGTGTGTGGCTGCATGGCCCCAGACACCATGGCAGCTTCAGGGCTCCCACAGGGAGAAGTTCAGAGGCAGCTTGTGGGGGGCTGACATTCTGGTGGGAATGGAACAGAACTGCATAGAAGTGGACGTAAATAAAGGGATGGAAAGGCTAAAAAGAAAAAAGAAAAAAAAAACACAAAACAGTAATGACAGGGCCAATGTTGTGGCACAGCAAGTTAAGTCACCACGTGGAACCCCAGAAGCCCATATCAGGGAGCTGGTTCAAGTCCTGGCTGTTTCACTTCCAATGCCAGGTTACTGCTAACGCACAGCTTGGGAGGGAGCAGGTAACGGCTTAAGTAATTGGGTTCCTGCCACCCATGCTGAAGACCTGGTTGGAGTGCTTGGTTCCTGGCTTTGGTCTGGCCCATTCCCAACTGTGTGCGGTCATTTGTGGAATAAACCATTGAACTGAAGAATGCTTTTTTCTCTCTCTGTCACTCTTTCGAACAAATAAAAATAAATCTTATAAAAAAAAAAGGAAAGAACAAGACTTCATATTTATTTGCTTTATCTGCTGTAATTCCACAAAGAAATATTAGAAGAAATCACAAGATGGTAGTTAACAGTAATTACAGATTTGATGGGAAAGAAGGTATAGGAACAGGATAAGGGGCAGGACTTCTCAGTGTAAACAGTTTTTTTAATAAAACTGTTTTATTTAACTCAACTATTGCCTTTCCAAAAAATATTAAGTAGTTTTTAAAAACAACAACAATTACCTCATTTTCTAACAAAACCAAAGGGAAGTATCTGGCACATTATTTACATTCCAATAGGTATTAAGGTTTTAACAACTCTTAAACTTCTTGGAACACACAACTTCATGGTGCATGTGTTCCATAATTAGAAACCAAAATATTTTGAATTCTTAATGAAGATAAATAGAAAAAATAATTTTTACAGAAACTTCTCTATGAGGATTTCCCAGAACACATCTACTTGACAAAGTGACTTACAACTAAGTAGTCATAGGACCTCAAAATTGAGTGGAAAAAATCAAAACCCTCAATGTTCATACAACAGTGCTATTTGCTACTAAGACTGAAAGCACGGGGGGGGGGGGGGGGGGGGGAGGACACACGGGACATAAGACTAACAACATCCCAGTGACTACACAGAGGGTGCTATAAGTCACTGATCCACCCACTATTTTGAAGACACTAATTTAACAAGCCACTTCTGCTCTTCAAACTAAGAAATTTTATTATCTTCACATCTCCACTTATTTTTGAGATTCCACACATTTATAAGAAGTTAAAATAAACAGTTCTTTTAAAAGGTTTTAGAAGAGTGAAAGCATGGCCCTTAAGAAACACATTCACTTTAATTTTAAAAACTCTTCAAGCACACATACTCACTCACCTTGAAAGGTTTGTCTCCACTGTGCGTCAGCATGTGCCTCTGTAGCCAACTTTGACTGGTTGATGGAGTGTTATATACTTTGCAACCTTTCCATAAGCAAACAAATACCTGTTAAAACAAGAGCCATAATAATTTTTGTCATTTATCTCTACAAAGAGTTTGAGTCCTTGTAAGTTCAAATGAGTATGTTGTTAAGTCTTCAACTGACAAAAAGAGCCATTTAATGTATGAGTTATCAAAAGGCTGAATACAGTTGAACTTTTTGGACTTGTCAATATGAGGCAGTTTCAACCCCACCCTTCCCCCACCCCCACAGGCTGCTGACCACTCCCTCAATTAGGAACTGACATACTAATCACAAAGTGGCCTTCAGAAGGGAATATATACACCAAGGAACTGGAACTATAAGCCTTCATTTACATTTTTATATTTACTACATAACAGAACTTATTATTTTGATTTCTTCTTGCATATATACTAACATTGTTTATTCTTAAATTTCTCTTAATCATCTTAATTATGAAGCGGAATTCAATATAAAACATTAAATTACCACAGTGGCAAAAAAAAAAATCAATAGGCATAACCTATTCCATTACCATAACAGATCCACATTCTTAGGGTCAGGCAACTAACTAGGTTTGAAAACCATCAAGACCAACATTACAATCATTATTATCTTCCAACTAGTGAGACCAACTTTCATATTTCCAACAAACTGAACACTGAAGACAACTCCTTCTGAATCTATCACAATTATTACTTCCAAAGAACCATTTAAGGCCTTAGTTCTTTCCTAAGGTAAGAATAATTTTATGTGGAGTCACACTTAGACGACCTCAGGGTACTTCAGGTAGAAAACAAGGATATACCCAGAACTGAGGACACATTTTTTAGACAGCTGAATAAAAACAGCTGTAATAAAAATTTTAAAGAGAAAAGCAACAGTCTGTAAACAAATAATGTAGAAAAATTTTTATTGAAAAGCTAAACCTTTTATGTCTAAAAAGACAACACCAATATCACAAATTGACATGGCTGTTTAGAGTATCATTACACATCTTGATTCCACAAGACTTGCTATTTTCTTATAGATAAGCAGACACAGGAAGTCATTTCTTCTCACTCTTCATAATCAAAATTTCTGATCTTGGCATGAATCAATAAAATAAAACTTGAGATACTCAGGGTTAAACATTACTTTCAAAAATAAACCCAGAAAAACAAAAATTCCAAAAACTATATTTATATGCTACATGAATGAATCCAATACTGTTTGATAATCAGTGCTATCAATTTCCTGACTATATTAAATTCAGTGGATAGTGAATTTTCAATCTGAGCAATTAACAGGTTATCAGAGGTTGGTTTTCTCTAGAGTCATATCAGACAAAAAGAACTACCTTAAATCAAGTATGCAGTCACAAAATTAATGTTACTTTTAAAACCATAAAGAATTCTACTGAAATAACTAACAAGTGACCCCTGCTTTGCATTACTCTCAAATCAAAGAGGTAGGGGCACAGGTTGTGGCACAGGTTAAGTTGCTGCTTGGGAAACCCGCAGCCCTTACCGAAGTACTGGTTTGGGTTCCCACTACCCCACCTCTAACTCAGTCTCCTAATGCATCCTGGGAGGCAGGAGATGATGGCTCATTTGCCTGGGCCCATAGCACCTACATGGAGACCAGGATGGGGTTCCAGGCTCCTATCCCAGTCCCAGCCATTGTAGCTATTTGTGAAGTGAACCAGCAGATGGAAGATCACTAGATCAACCAACCTCTCTCATTCTGCTTTTCCAGTAGATGAAAAGTAAATAAAAAATAAAATTTACCAAAAAAAAAAAAGAAAAAGCAGAACTTTGTTCCTTCTACATAAACACTGCTTCTACCTAATTTACCCCACATTTAGGAGCAATAACAATCTCTGACATCTAAATTTTTTTCCCTGTAAAAATCTATTTTTTTTTCTTATAAGCAAGCATGATTATGGAGGCAATGGCAGCTTTATAATACCATCAGATATAGCCTTACATATCGAGTAGTTATGGTCTAGACCAGGGGTAGGAAACCTTTTTTCCACTAAGGGTAATTCGGATATTGGTAACATCACTTAGGAACCACCCAATAAATTGACTGAATTTCGAGTCCTGCTTGGGGCCATCTTGGCAGGGCCAGACCAAATAGTTTCCCAGGCCTTATAAGGCCTGCAGGACAGACTTTCCCACTCCTAGTCTAGATGGAATAATGTCTAGTGACACAATGAAAGCAGTACCGTTCGGATTCAAAACCTTTAAACCTAGCGAACTCTATAGATGAAATCACTGCAGACACAAAGTTAACTATGTTTAACTACCTTTGAGCAAATTACTTAAAAATTAATTGGACGCAGAGCAGGGGAGCACTTAACTGCCACAAGACAGCCTTGAGACAAAACCAGCATGAAAGATCCACCGAGGTATCTACAAAAATGACAAAACTGTTCAAAAAGCTGAAATTTCCAGGGGCCAGCACGGTGGCACAGGTAAAACCGCCACGTGCAGCGCAGTCATCCCATATGGGCACTGAGTTCCAGCTGCTCCACTTCTAATCCCGCTCTCTGCTAATGGCCTGGGAAAGCAGTGAAGGATGACCCAAGTCTTTGGGCCCCTGGCACCGTGTGGCTCTTGTCTTTGCATCTGCACAGCTCCAGCCATTGTGGCCAATTGGGCAGCAAACCAGTGGATGGAAGACTTCTACCCTTCTCTCTGCTCTGCCTCTCTGTAACTCTGACTTTTTTAAATAAATAAATCTTTGAGGGAGAAAAAAAAAAAAGCTGATACTTCCTTTCCTAACCTGCTAAGGAAGGCCTATGATAAAATACTTTTAAAAACTATACTGGGGCTGCTGCCTCCAACACTGGCATCCCATATGAGAGCCAGTCCATTTCCCAGCTGCTCCTCTTCCAATTCAGCTCTCTGCTTATGGCCTGGGAAAGCAGTGAAAGATGATCCAAGTCCTTGGGCCCCTGCACCCACATGTGAGACCAGGAAGAAGCTCCTGGCTCCTGGTTTCAGATCGGTGCAGCCCTGGCCATTGCAGCCATCTGGGAGAGAACTGGAGGATTGAGGACCTCTCTATCTGCCTCTGCCTCTAATTCTGCCTTTCAAATAAATAAATGGGTATTAAAAAAAAAATCCAGCTCTTTCCCTTTATATCTATGTAAGCATGGAAGAAGTCTCTTTAATTTTCCAACAAAGATACTGTGAGTACATACTTGGTAACTCCAAAATACTACAAAAACACAACATATTCTCACAGAAAGAGTAGTCAAAAAGAAAATGTTGGTTTACATTAGACACTGGATGTCCACTCTCAAAATAACTGCCATCAGTGGAGCCAGCACTATGGCACAGCAGATTGATGCCCTGGCCTGAAGTACCGGCATCCCATGTGGGCACCAGTTCATGGCCCAGTTGCTCTACTTCCACTCTGGCTCTCTTCTGTGGCCTGGGAAAGCAGCCGAAGATGGTTCAGGTCCTTGGGGCCCTGTGCTCGCAAGGGAAACCAGGAAGAAGCTCCAGGATCCTAGCTTCAAACTGGCACAGCTGTGGCCATTGCGCCCCATTGGGGAGGGAACAAGCGGATGAAGGACCTCCCTCCCTCCTTCCCTCTCCTCTCTGTATAACTCTTTCAAATAAATAAATAAACCCTTAAAAAAAAAAAAAAAAAACTGCCATCAGATTTTTCTGCCAGACTGTCCGTGTAGGGGTGTGGCAGGACTGGCGGGGGGGGGGGGGGGGGTCATCACAACCAACGAATCCATTAAGTGTATTTTCTTTAACTGATTATTTGCAAGACAGAGCTACAGGGAGAGGAAGAGAGACAAATAAATTAATAAATTCCATCTGCTGGTTCACTCCTTTAATGGCTGCAAAAAGGGACTGGAGCCTGGAACTCCATCCAGGACTCCCACGTGGGTACTGGGGCCTAAGGGCTTAGGTCATTCTCCGTTGCCTTCCCAGGCACAATCCAGAGAACCGGATTGGAAGCAGAACAGCTTGGACTCGAACCGGCATCTATATGGGTATCAGCCTTCCCCTAGAATATTTTTAAACAATCAATCTTCTTATTTCAACAATGAGGTAACCTAAGATGTATGGGTCTAAAATGCTAAGCTTTCTGCTAAGAATTCTGAGTTTTGCTGGGTTGGGTCAGTTTTACCTTCTAAATGCTCAACATGAAGCAGACTTAGACAAACCTGAGAACCAAAGTTAGTCTTATTCTCCTTCACTTATATGGCCCATACCAGCAGAACGTTATGTGATAAAATACAGATAAACACATTTCCATTTATCTCATCACTAACACTTCAGACCTGAAGTGTGCAAGTGAATACATTCAAATACTCTGTAAATGAAAATCCAACAGCAGAGGAATGCTGCCTAACCAACTAGACAGAAGTCTAAGGATACATAAGGAAATTCAGTTATTAATGAATTAAAACCAGGCAAAAGTATTCTAAATGCAGAGCAGGTAAGCAGTTTAATTTACAGGTCAAATAAAATAAAAGATTAATTATAATTAGTAATTAGATTCCTTTGGCAGTAAACTGACAAAAAAAGATATGCGATAATAACATTTAATATCAGTAAAGGGATGAGTACATGACTCATGGTAACTTTAAGCTTGAATATTTCTACGAAAATAAATGCTTTACAAGACATAAGTACACCAAAGAGAAGCAAAAGAAATTTTTGATTCAATTATTTTGTTTTGTGTCGCTTTCTTCAAGATGCAAAAATGGGGGCCAGTATGGGGGCACAGCGGGTAAAGCTGCCACCTGCAGTGCCTGCATCCCATATGGGTGCTGGTTCTAGTCATGGCTGCTCCTCTTCCAATCCAGCTCTCTGCTATGGCCTGGGAAAGCAGTGGAAGATGGCCCAAGTTCTTGAGACCCTGTACCAGTGTGGGAGACCTGGAAGAAGCTCCTGTCTCCTGCCTTTAGATTGGCACAGCTCTGACCATTGGAGACAACTGGGGAGTGAACCAGTGGATGAAAGGCCTCTCTCTCTCTCTCTCTTTGTAACTCTTTCAAATAAGTAAATCTTTAAAATAAAAAAAAAAAAAA